CGGGCACTGCTAGAGCACAGCCCTGCAGTTTGCAAACTTTTTCTGAAATATTGAATCAACTTTAATAGCAAGTATATTACATTTGATTTGAAAGCATTAATTAGGGGCGTGGTTAAAAATTTTCTTGAGTCATGCGCAGTTTTCCAATCATCCCTACCCTGTCCTCCAAATTGGGTGGCTCGATAAAATGTTCTTTTTTTTAATCAATATGGGGAGGCAACCGTTTCTCTTCCTCTAAGGACCCCCTTCTTCAAGCAAGAGTTACGGCTTTCATGTGTGGCAAAATCGAATGAAACACCAAATTTTGTTTTAAAAACATGATTTAGAAGATGTTAAATTGGAGTTACATTTATAGCTATCGCACCGTTTTCCAGGTATCCTTTATCTACATTCTGTACCTTTCCTTTACTAGGTGCACAGTTCATTTACTTAACTATAGGTAGATATGAAATCTCCATCAGTCTCACAAAAAATACTTCCAGGACACTGTAATCTTAGTCACTTTTGCAAGTGACGAGGAGTGCATTCTTTTGCTTGTAAGCAAGGGCAGAACATCTCAAACAAAGCACCGATTTCCATAATAGAGGGCACTATAACAGCACTAGAACAAATGCAATAGAAAAGAATAGCTGGGAATGTGCATATTTACAAACCTCAAAATATTTATTTGTACGGGAAAAGTACACTTATGTTCTTATATTGTATTTTCATTATTGTCTAAACTGTTAAGAGCGACTTTCATATTTGACAACCTGCCAACTCGTCTAGGCGGCGTGGGCAGCTGATAGGATCAAAATGGGTTAGTTAAGTTTACCTAGCTGATTTACAAATTTGTATTTAAATGCATGTGGAGTAGAGTTGTAAACTTTTTATTTCTTATACTAAAGTTTGGAAACATTTCAAACTTTCCCAAAATGCCATTTTCTGTTGTTGGCTCATCTTGAAAGAATCTTTTGTGGCTTTATGATGATCTTAGAATCAATTATCTTGTTTTAACTCTAAGATCTGATGGTTTGATAACTTAGTCACAAGATTTTGACCAGCTGTTTGTAAGTCTTTTGTAGGATGGCCTCTGTGTAAACAAGGAAATGGAAATAAATTGCAATGCAACTATATCATGTTAGTGAGAGCTGTGGTTTTCGTAAAAATAGAATTGTTAGTATTCAACCGATTGGATGAACAAAAAAATCTTAAAAATATGCTGTACTACTCTTTACATGCCGCGATTTTTCTTCCTAACCTGAACAGCCTAACACGTCTATCCCAGAACAGACTTGACACTTCTATGGCGCTGCTAGGGTAAAATTCCAGCGAGCAATGCAAATGGATCATATGAATTGGCGGCAAACTATAGAAATCACCGACAAATTCTCTCATGGACTTAAGGTACGGTAAAACAGGCAACGACGTGCTACTTGTATTGCATGCAACATTGCTGCAAAACGAGTTGAATAGCGATGTTGCGTGTTTAACCACCCACGTTCGAACCTGTCTTGCAACAAATAAAGTTGCAAGGTTTGTTTTTGTGGCTGGTAGAACCTGAGAACGCGCAACATCGCTATTCAACTCGCTCGTTTTGCAGCAAAGTCGCAAAACAAGTTGCACGTTTTCTATTGCCCGTTTTACTGTACCATTAAATTGACAAATGTAAGGCAGAAAGTAACTGAAATCGTAGACTGCAAAACAGCCCGTATTTAGGATAAAAAAAAGCGCGTGCGAGCGGTGAAACAGAATTTTGTTATAATACATCAGTCCGATCAATTTCAACAGCTTTTAACTCTTTCTGTATTGAAATCGGAAGAAAGTTGGCCAAGAAGATTCCTTATGGCCTTCAGGTGAAGAAGTTCTGCCCTTCTAATGCAAGAGCAACTTTTTCCCGTAAAATTAAACATAAATAACAGAACAGCAAAAACAAAAGTGACTTTGTCTGATATTTCCTGTCTTACTGTTAACGTTCAATTTTGTATTGCATAAAACATTAGGATTTGAATGTCGTCTTTTTGAAAAAGCTTCAATATATTTTTCTTTCATCCTCGTTACCAGGGCTTTTCTTTTCCGATTAGTCCAGCACAGCTCTTATCCTTTTTTAATCACACCCACGTAATTCGGGTTCAAACCCAAATTTTCTACTGTCACTGCATCTGCATACTACACTAATCAGATTATTTTGCGCTATGGACACTGGTTTGGTAATTTGTCTGCTTTTGGTGTAGAAGATGCCGCAAGAGACTGGTTCTTCGTTGCAAACAGAAGCCAGGACAATTGCTGCGATAACACAATATCCGACAAAAAAACCTGTCTCCATTGGGGTTACTCAGGGATCTATCTTGGGGCAGCTTTGGTTTATGATCTCATGAATAATAATAATAATAATAATAATAATAATAATAATAATAATAATGATACTACTACTACTACTACTACTTTAATTATGGAAAATAACAATGGAAAATAATAATATCGCGAACTGTATGTCAATATTTTCGCGTCTGTGCGATTCAAAAGCTTAAGATCCATTTAATTGCGTATTATTCAAATGCTATAAGTTTATGAAAGGGCGTACCGGCTCTACGTTGTCACGTACAAAATATGTCAAATGCTTCAGAATTGAGACAAGCTGTTATCGAGTAGTACTTCGACTGAAATTCATCGCGACTGTGGAATTACTATACGATCATCAAGCGGAAAGTGATTTTGTCCAATGTCAAACAAAAATGCGGGCCTTTGCCTCTAGGATCTGCAGTGAATTTAAACAAATTGAACTTAATTGAAATAGAATTGTTCATCAAAATGCTTTAAGGAATCTGGTCTTCTAACCCGACCATGAAACAAACAAATCTCCGCGCCGGACGCAAGTCAGCCCTCCAGCCAGGAACGATGACAGGTCGCCGATCTGAAACATTTGAAGATCTCTTATATATTTTCTCTTCCGAGGATAAGTACAAAGGATTTTCCTTATATTAAAGGGAAGATTGACCGATCGATTGGAATCAACTACAGCTATGTCAATTTTAAATGGACCCAAGTCTTTGTTTGTTACAAGTCATTTGATACCGTGGGTGCCAGGGACTATTCATGCGCGGTTTCCGGTTTCGGTCAAGTCTCGCAGAGGTCAATGAATTTTTTAAAAATACAGTCATACAAGATAAGTCTAAACCAACGCGTATCGCTATGATGATATGGCTGAGAGTTAAGGTGAATGGAACTAGGTTGTGTATGGCGGTCTACTTCGCAAGAAATAAAATAAAATATCAAAAGAAGTCGCGAAAACGAACTTTTCCGGTACAAACTTTATGCATGTACGATAGCTTGTTTGTCATTTATATCGCTCTATAAAGGAAGTAAAACTTTTCGTTAATCGTCAAGAGATATAAAAGGCCGCCCAAGATCGCGCGCGGTGAGATTACGCATAATTTTAGCTTTTCACGTAGCGCTAATTTATTACACCCAGGTTTTTAGGGTGTACGAGGGGACACGTGACCCTGCCTTTTCCCGTCCCACCCATTTTTTAAGGGAAAAGCCCTAGGGACGAGGTTGGTATAAACCCGCACACGCCATAAAGGTATAATTTGTTTATAGTTACATGAAGGGTATTTCGACAGCTCTTCCACACGTTGAATCGTCACGCTTGGTCATTTGGTCTTTTCGTTCCTTCAGTAACGAAAGTTCCCTGGACTGCTAGCTTTTAAATATGGAGGTGGAAAACGGAGAATGTAAACCAACTGTACTGATTAAAAATACATGGGATCCGTTGTGACCACAGTGAGTATTATCATCAAGTGATTGTGTGTGTCCGCATACGTTCGTGACTCAGCCTATTTCTGGCTTCGCTTGAATAACTCTTTTCCTTAACTCACGACCGAAAACCTTCCAGATTCCCAAGTTCGATAAAATGTTTGCTTTATTCTGTAGTTAAGCCAATGTTTGTTCTTGTGGCTGTTGTTTTCACTAATATTGTAATCTAAGCATCGAACTTAACATACGCCGTTACTTCCAAGCGCCTGCTACGCAGGCTACGGCATCTGCAATTGCTCCAAAATGTTTCGATAATAGTTCATCTAAGCTTGTCAGTTAGGGATTTCTGTGCACAGGCTTATGGATGTGTATGTTTTAATATAACACCCTACTATTCAAGATCTACCCCTTGATTTGGATGGCAAACAGAAACTTTGAGAATCCTTTCATCAATTTCCTTCAATTTGCTGAGTTCAAATATTTCTGATGAGCAAGTGTTTATATGAGTAATTTAAGTATTGTTAGTATTGCCTGTTTGTAGCTGTCATGCATTTCTGGCTGACTGGCAGGGGAGGGTAGAAAGTATGATCTAAGGTGTAAGTGTCATAGCCTGCGAAAAACATGCGTTTCTCCTCGCTCTTCGCCGCCGGGAACGTTTTCGCAGGCTTTAAGTGTCATTGTAGGCTGAAAGAGTTAAGTGGGGAGAGGGGAGGAGCCTACTTTGTTACCCTACCCCTACACTGGTAACCACTGTCTGCATAGGAGCCTAGCGTCCATATATGTACAAGTTGTACATACACCTGTAGCTTGTGCATACAGCTGAAATCTGGAAAAAAAATTTCTGAAAGCATTTTTATGATCAAATCAGGATGACTGCTAACTTTGCAGTTTACTGGTGTCTTGTGTTGGTATTAATTTCCTGTATTCTTTTATTATTCTGTAAAAGGATGGCAAGAAACATTATAGTGGGGTGAAAAATGAAAAAATGTGCCCTTCCCTGCCCCCTTGCAGCCTTTTCCTTCATATTTATTTACTGAAAATGTCCTGGGGAAAACACAAGGAAAAGTCCATCAGTGCTCTAAGTTTTCTTTCTGTGCATACACCTTCCAAATCTCATGCTATGCTCCTGCTATGTTGTGATTCCTTTATACAGCTCAACTGATTAATTATAATAAGTTTTTTCTTGTGTCAATGGCGGTTCATTCTTGTTTGTTTTTTTGTGTATAAATAGGTGTTACGAAGGAGACCATGCACTGGAGGAAGCCATGAATGCATTTTCCAGTGATGCTTCTTTTGAGATCATTTACAGGCCCAAATATCTAAACCTCAGCCTTCCAGAGGAAGGAGTGCTTTTGGAGGATTACTTCACCGAGAAATTTGGTGCAGATAAGGCAAAAAAGTACATGGAAGAGACACCAAAGTACATGGCTAACTTGGTATGTAAATTTTGTCAGTTGGAATTATGGCTTGACTTGCTCGTTTTGTTTCCAAACTTTCATCCTGTCAATATGGAAAAATGCCTCAGGTGGTTGATTCTGGTAAAATGAGGCTTAAATCCAGAAATAAAAACAATCGATGTGGACCTTGTGGTCTTTGAAAAGACTGATTCCAAGGTGGTTTTCTAGCGAAAACTACTGACACAATTAACAATTATTGTAACTGTGTAATAAACAACTTCTAAGAGGAGATTGGAGCAACAGTTAAAGCAAGAAGGTGGCTGAAAAACCTTTTAACCCATTTATGCTTCAGCTGCATATGACTGGAAGAACACAAAGATGCGAACCCCTCGAGATCTAAAATCTGAAGACCTTTTTTACTCTCTTGCAATACCCTCCCCCCACACATCAATCACCCCCACCCTCGACATAACCACAATCTGAATTGGTGCCCAAATAATAAATATGGGTGTGGCTTAGGACATTATAGTCTTATATGAAGTATATATAGAACATCAAAATTCACTTACAATGACTTACATGACAAAAAATGGACCTTTAAAGCAATGACAAAAACGACGGCAGTGATAATGTTCCTATTCTTTCAAACTTAATCGCGTCTATTTGGACTCGCTCAATATGTCAAATGCACCTGGGACTTTTCCTGGACTTGAATTCTTAAGGACTTTATCCAGGTTCAAAAAGAGAAGTGAGAATTCGTTGTCGTATGTCCACGTCCTCCATTAAACGTTGCATTAGGAGGTTTCATGTTGTAGTCGTGTAGTGGACGTCAATGAACTGTACTAAAAAGCGTGATGCATGTGCAGAGCTGTTGTTTTGCTGATAAAACCAATTGTTTTCTGAAGGTGGCATTGTGGTCGTTGTTGCAGTTGCTTAAGCTCCCTATTATTGTCGTCAATATTGAAAACAATATAGCAAAAATGCTACAGAAGCCTTACCGTCTCCCTGCTATGATCACTAGCATTTCTGATATCCAAAATCTCCACTCTAATCTCAATAAATTCCCTTATGAAAAGGACTAATGTCACTAGTTGAGAAAAATGATAAAAGAATAATTGTTTTATCACATTTTCTTGACTAAAAGTGGGATTACTCCTTTTAATAAGGAAATGTATTGAGATACAGTAAGTTTGGAGATTTTGGATATTGGTGCTTAAAGGGTTAAGAAATGTTAGTTTTCATTTGAGTGGAAAACCGGAGTACCCAGAGTTGTAAACTTCTTAGAGCAAGAGGCAGAACCAGCAATAAACTCAATCTATACAGTTGTAGATGTACAATGTATACGGTTCCACCTTTGGGATTGAGCATGAGGGTCTCTTATCCGGCAGAGAGTGGCCTCACCACTGAGCCATCATTGGTCTCCAAACTGAAGTGAAGTGTTGGAAATTGCGTAAAATATAAAATATATCTACATTTGAACCAAATATGGCTTTAATAGGTAGAAGCTTGAAATTATATTTTTTAAACCATTCATCATCATGGACTCCTTGCTTCGTCAAAACTTCTGATTCAATTAATTAACAATTCTTTCAGGGTATTGAATTCAAGCTCCCTAAGTATAAGGTTCCTCCAACAAAAGCATACTGCCTGGTTGACTATGCCACTACAGTTGGTAAACAAGTCCAAACAGTTAAACAGCTGTATAAGGCTTATTATGTTGATGACAAGAGAATTGACTCGGTGGAGACTCTAAAAGAAATCGCCTCGAAGTGTGGCCTTGATCCTGAAGAGGCAGTAAGGTAACTCCTCACATATACACCTTTTGCTCTCCATCATCAGGAAATAAATTTTAGTTAGCGTCAAGATTTCAGTTGATATATTAAATGTGTAATCATTGCAGAAATAATAATAAACAAACGTCTTAATTTTTGTGTGGTCAATAAAGATTTTTACATACTAAAGATAAGGACATTCAATAAATGGCAATAAATTTTCAACTTAATTGAAATGATATAAGCTCGAATAAGCATTCGAGAAAAAAAAGAAAGGTTATTGCCTGGTTTACAAATTGTTGAACGTAAACAAAAATCATATAAAAGGGCCATAGCAAAGGAAGGATTAAACTTGATTGTTGCACAAAGTTTGTGACCAATAAATGTGACCTGCAATTATCCGCTCACGATGGCACTTATGTCCAGGATTGAACGGACTAGCAAAAATTGGCCAGCAAATTGTTTTCGCTATTTTGGCAAAAAGGATTTGAAGGGGACTGCTATCACAAATGTATAGAGAAAAAAGCAAATAAAACAAGAATAACAAATTCAACAAGGACCGCAAGCTGTAGCAAAAATCTGTCGCAATTTTTGCAAAAGCATATGTTTAATAAAAACTGTTCACAGAAATCGAAAGAAGTCTTCAAAAATCGCAAAAGTAACAAGAAATTTTATTGCGACAAAAAATATCCTGATAAATATCGCGAAAATAACAGGAATGACAAACTAAGCAAAAGTTCAGGCCCCAGTTGGTCAAAAGCTAGATATCGCTATCAACCGGATAAATCACTATCCAGTGGATAAGTATTAGGGAACCAATTGCACTATCCAGTGGATAGAGATTTATCCGGTGGATAACGCTATCCACCGGATATATCACTATCCAGTGGATAAGTATTAGAAAACCAATTGCACTTTCCAGTGGATGGAGATTTATCCGGTGGATAGCGCTATCCACCGGATATATCACTATCCAGTGGATAAGTATTAGGGAACCAATTGCACTTTCCAGTGGATAGAGATTTTTCCGGTGGATAGCGCTATCCACCTTTTGAACAACTGGGACCAGGCTTATAAAGAAAAATCAGGTAAAGAACCCTTAAAACCTGTGGAAAAAATTCTTTACATCTTTAAGCCTTTTATTATTGTATTCAAGGTTCACTCTTGTTTTCTGTGCACCATGAAACTGATTCTTAATAAATAGAATCAACAAAGTTATGGAAAAAATGCACGTAGAATCATGAAAGTTTTGTTTTGATGTTGATTTTTTTAGGCACATCTCAAACCCTTCTGTAACAGCGCAAGTGAAAGAAACAGACGCAGAAGAACGAAAGGCTGGTCACACTTTTGTCCCCCACTATGACATCTGTATAAAAGGGAAACCTTCAAATCTATTGTCTTTTGTCGGGCCCCAGACCGCTGATACCTTCAAAGGTGCCTTCCAGCAGTTACTGGAATAGCCTGGAAACTACTTGAATGTAAAGTTAGCTGAGGATATCTAAAACTTCAGTTGAACTAAATTCCCTCTAACGTCTACCCAAAATGCTAAGATTTAAAATATTATAGTCCTTTCCAGTAGTTTTTTTATTCATCGATACTGCTGAAATTAGTAATCGTGCTCAGTTTGAAAGTGTAATATGTTTGAAGCAAGCGAAGATATAATAATAGTTCCGTAAAGTGGTGTTGGTTGGTGGTGGTGGTGGTGTTTCTTGAGGTGTAGGGTCCCTCTATGACAGAGGTTACAAAACTTGTTTGGTGACATAGAAGCTTATAGATGAATCAGAAGTTCAAAAACGTGATATCGAGTCAGTGTTTATGTAATGATGACTTCGGGAAAACATGAATCCTGATGTTTGATGAAATTGTAGGCATGAACCTGTGTCAATCACGTGTAGGATGAGAAAACCGTGTTACGGTAGAGTCCAATTTGTGTTATGTTTACTAGAAAATAAGAAAATAGACCTTTTCCGCATTCCCGTAAACAAAGGTACTAACGCGAGGCTCGGGTGGACAAAATACAACATTTCTTATGAAAATAGGCCCTTTACAGCTAACCACGTGGTACAAAACCGCCATGCTGGAGAGCAAAAGTCGCACTGGGACAAGACAAACAAAGGAAATTACCATTTAGAATTATGTATGCCCTTATTTGTCTTGTCTCACTGCGATTTTTGCTCTCTAGCATTGCGGTTTGTACCACCTGAATGGCTAGCTGCAAAAGGCCTATTCACCCGAGGAGCCTCGATCTGATTTCTCTATGTTTTCTCACTGAAGCGGAATGCGGGAAAGGACTATAGCCAATTATTCTCGTGCGATGTGCCTCTTAGATCCATTATAATTACTTCTGATGTTCTATACAGATAAATTTCTGATCATGTCATGAGGACTACAGAGAAAACAGTTCAATCTGTAGTCTGAGAAATTCACGGCCAGAAATTGAGTCTGTTTACATCATTTCTAGAAAAGTTAAGAGGCAGGAGGTACACCAGTATCTCGCCATTTGCTGAACCAAATAAAACCACTTTAGCAAAGACTTTTGTTACTGTTGTTTCATTGAGTTTTTGAAGTGATATTTGCCTTATTGGTACTCAGTAATTTCGCGAAAATAAATCCTACGACGCTCATATAGAAAATTCAAATTACAGAAAAAATATATTAACTTGAAATAGCAACAACATGTATAGGATATGTATCGACAATATATCTTGCTAACTGGTTATACTGGTAAGCTCCGTTTTGTATCTTCAGTTAGTGAAATAACGTTAATTGTAAAGCTTTCACGCATTGCTTTTCCATTTTAACTAGCAATTTGAAGCCTTTCATACTTGCTTGAATGTGACGTTAGTGATTTCTTCACTAAAGCTAATTCAAAGCACAAGCATGAGACCAGGTTTTCTTCGTCTGGAAATTATTATGTCCAAACTTCAAGACTGAATCAAAAATAAAACCCCGCGAAATACTCTCTCGCTAACATCACGAAATTAGATACTCGCGAAATTAAGTACCAATAAGTATAAAAGTAGTTTAGTTTTGAAATTTACCTGACCAAGGGCCATTAAGGAATTGAAACTTCATGACCAAGTCCCGCTGGCCCGAGGGATATTCCCTATAATGGACTATCGAGGAAGTTCCGCCCGAAAGGAGTACCTTTTCAGAGTAAAGGTGGATAAAGGCACGAGAAAGAAAGGCATTTATTTTTAAAGCTTCTTTGAAATTACATCGGAGAGAAGCAACAACCAGCTGTAGGTTAATGACAAAAACGTTCGTTGGACGATAGGAAGGGGATTCAGTGAAAAGTGTATTCAGTTGAAGTATATGCATGGGGACTAAATATTTTCGATGAAAAAGGCTAAGGTTTGGGCTGCGGGACGAAGAATGCGCATCCCCGAAAAGTAACAGCCGCGGAAGTACTAAAAAACCTATTTGCTTAGCCGAGAGTCCGTCCGTGTTAGGATCCAGAGCACCGTTAAAACCTGCCGTAGATGAATTTTTGGCACTTAGTGTAACATATATGAAGTATATGTCTCGGTCTTTCAAGTTTGTTTAAAAATCGACTGAAACAGACGTAAGAAAATTGGTCAGAATCGGCTCGTAACAGTTAAGGGCTAATGACCCACGGCTGCGCGGAGTATCTCTTTAGAAAAACATTTTGAGCACCTCCTCCCAGCTGGTGCTAGCGGCATATAGGAAAAAAAATAGGAAAAAAAAACAAAGTCTTTCAAAAAAGGGAATTAAATCTCAAACAAAAGTGCAGTGTTTACTCCGATTTTTCCACACGTATACACTCGAAGGCCGGGATCATGGCTGCAGAACTCGGCTTTACGACTAATGTTTACCTCGACACACTGACAGAAATCTTATAGAAGTCACTTTCGATCGGATAAATGATTTAGGAGACGGTACGTGGTAGGGTGGACTTGAAAAACTATGCGTGCCCCCGGGAAAATCACAAGTGCATGGTTTTATATAGATTGCGTCATCTTCAGGAATGTAGGGGCAGCCTATAGAGAGAAGGGACGGAATATTCGCAGTCAAGGAAGAGATGACCAAGAAAGCTACAGTTTCATAGAGACTTTTGTTCTTGGGGACCGGTCATTATTTATCGCCTGGGGGGGGGGGGGGGGGGGG